CGTCTTGCTGCAGTTCCCATCAATATGAAGCGGTCTGTCCACCTAGATCCGTTTCCAGGGACAGGAATGTCAGAGTGTCTCCACCAATCCCAAAAAGGATGAGCAATGTCACAGTGCAACGCAAAGTGTTGCAAGTCTTCCATTCGGATACCTGGACATATCAGACATTCAGCCCGTGCCTTGGTTGTTGGTTTTGCACACCAGACCGCAACCGGAACCGCTTGGTGCATCATGAGCCAGAGAAAACTGGCATGTTTAACAACAACCAAGTCCATCAGATTCACCCAGAATCTAGGTAGCACTTCCAAAAGTATTGTCAGCGAGTCTGTGATCCATCCTGTCGCCAACCATCTGCAAGCCACCTTCCAATTGATATCAACCGAAGGGGTCGAGAGTAAATATCCCAGTTTGGTTGAGTATCTATACATCTGGACCATTTCATTTCGATGCAGAGGGTGTTCCCAGGCCCACAGACAAGAGATAAGAAGGAGAAGAGAGATAGAATGGATGATAACCTGTGTCAGTTTCCAGGACACACACAGGTGTCAGAGTTTGAATAGGGGGCATCGGCTCTTGATTCGCCGCAAATGTCAGAGTTGTTCCCAACCCAAAGAAGCCATCTTGTACCTCCCAGCAAGAGTGTGGTATTTGAGCCACCTCCGAATAAGTTTCCATTTTCCATATTTGCAGTGGTTGTTCTTGTTGCGAATTTTTATACCACATACCCTGAGCAGGAACAAGGCCTGCTCTCAGCACCTGTACCCAAGTATTCGGGATTGCTTGCTGTAGCTGTTGTAGGTGGTCCCGCTGATGCCAGAGGCCAGAGAGCGAAGGTGCCAGAATTTCAAAAGGTTTCCAATCAGCCAGTTCAGGGTCCCATATATCAGCCACTGTCCCTACACCCCGTGCCATCCAGGCATTGCCAAAGGCCCCCGGCCCATGGGTTTGGAAGGGATCTCCTTGAGTCGAGTAAATGAACTGGTTTTGAAACAAGGGTTGGGTGAGTATCCGCTCCATTACCATTGGTGGCAGTTGCAGAGCAGGGACGACTTGCTTCCAAGCTTTCAATATGCCTCCCCATATATCTGACGGCAAGCGTTTCCTTAGGTAGGAGGCAAACAGCGAAGGCAGCCAGACATGTTTGGGGTTCTCCCATCCCCAAATTGACAAAAGTGCAGGTTTTGTTAGTTGTTTCCATCCGAAGGTGGAATCAGCTAGCAGACCCCACGGTATCCATCTCGCTAGCAGCGCTGCAATTTGCCTCTCCGGGTCTAAAACTGCCAGTCCTCCTTTCCGCTTGGGTTGTGTGACCACTTCCCAAGCTACTTTGGGTAAATAATTGTCTTGATTCGTTTCGTCTTTCCAAAGGTAATGTGTGGCAAGGCGACGCACTGTTTGAAGAGAGGACGCATCAAGTTGATAGATCGACCTATGATAGCATATTGTAGAAAAGCAAGCATTATTGATTACCAAAGATCGTCCATATAAGCTCACGCCTTTGTGGACAGTCCAAGGCTGAAAAGCAGCCCGGAGTGACGTCAAGGAAGAGGCAGAGTCCAATCGCAGTTGAGGGGCGAACGATATCCGATGGCCCAGTAATCGTTCGTGCTGTGTAGGCACCACGATCCTTAGCCCCCAGTGATAGGGGGGTTGGGCTCCTGGTGGTACAAGGACTGACGATTTGGACCAATTAACCGCAACTTGTGAAACCAGGCAAAAGAGATCAATGGTATCCTGCAGCTTTTCAAAGGCAGCGTCCAACAAAGGAGTAAACGCTACTGAATTGTCAGCAAAAGCCTCCGATTTGAGTCTATCACCTGAGGGCAAAAGAAATCCTGGAATATCAGGGTCACTTCTAATCAAAACATGCATAACTTCTACATATAGTATATACAAATAAGGAGCCACAGGACATCCTTGCCTTACCGACCGAGAGAGCAAAATAGGCGGAGAAAGAGTCTCATTGACACACAGTCTAGAGGTTGCCCCAACCAAAAGCGTCTTGATTGCGTGTCGGATTTTCGGTTCAAAACCAAAGGTAATCATTGTAGCTTGTAGAAATTCACAACCCACCCGATCATATGCTTTCTCCAGGTCAAGTCGTATGACCGCCATTTGTTCTTCTCCATTGGTCACCCATTCTAAAAATCTCTCCACAGTCATGACGTTATAAAGGATCTGTCTCCCTTGCAAAAATCCAGTTTGCGAGGGGTGGATGATTGCCGTCAACACTTGCTGCAGTCTTGCTGTCAAGATTTTGGTAAAAAATCTTATACACAGCGCGCATCAATGTGATCGGCCGGTAATTGCGCACGTCAGTCCAGTCCCCTTTTTCAAAAACAAAAGTAATGATCCCTTCTAATGCAGAAGCAGGTAGGGTTCCACCATTCCACACCGCTCGGCATATAGTCAACAGTTCCGGAGTTAACAGTGGAGAAAATCGTTTGAAGAGGGTAGAGGGCAAACCATCAATTCCTGGTGCTTTATGATCTGCCAGCGATCTAACTGCATCAATCAGTTCTTGCTGCGTTATGTCTGCTTCCAACATTTCAGACTGCTGTTGTGTCAGCCTTCGATCCAGTTTGGACCAAATGAGGTGATGGAATTGGTCCAAAAGCTGTTCCTCAGAATGTTGGGCTTGCGAAGCCAGCAAACTCTCGTAAAACAGTGAATGCCTGGGCACTACATCCAAATTCTTTACCAAATTTGAATTAAAAATCAAATACAGAAAATAAACACTATGATAAAAATAAAAAAAAATAAAAAGAGAATGAAAATGAGCGAGTGTGCCAGCACCTTTTCGACACCGCCATCTTTGCCGATTTTTAATTATTTTTTGGCATTGACAAATGCCCTGAAAATTTACAGATATGTAGTTTACATAATCAATAACTCATTTAAAAACTTTCAAAAAAGTAATAAATTTTTTTAAGCCCCGAAATAAAGTGAAAACAGAAAGTTAAAAGTGAAAAAAAACAAAATAGTGAGTGGGCGAGCACGTTTTGACACCCCCATTTTTGACGATTTTTAATGTTTTTTTGGCTTAGCAGAATGGCTTCAAAATTTATAGGCGTGTAGGTTACATCATAGAGAACTTACAACAAAACATTCAGAAAAAAAACTTATTTTTAGGCCCCGAAATGGTTTTTGGCGGGGGCCGAACCTGGAGGTGTTCGGCCCCCGAACGGACCCCGAACGCCCGAACGTTCGGGGGCCAGCCCGGCCCCCCCGGAACGTTTGGTCAGGTAACCCTGTATATATATATATATATCGTCACAAACAGAACTGCCCGGTAAAACCGTAGGCAGAGAGAGAGAAGATATATATATATATATATCGTCAAATAGAACTGCCCGGTAAACCGTAGGCAGAGAGGG